CCGCACATGCTCTTTGCACTTGTGTCTTGTGTCTTTGTGTTGCTATTACTCTGTTCTGACTCTCGTGACTCTCCTGGTATCTATTCGGCTTGTGACTTGACTATTCTTAGTATTCTCCTTTGATCTGACCCTCTGTTGCTGAACCCGGCTCGTGACCTGTGATTCTCGTCTGCTGTCCTGTACTGTTTTGTCCTGTTGTTGTTGACCCCGGCTTGTCTGACTACTCTTTTGTCTCTTCCACCAGCTACACGCCATTGGCGGCGGCCATTACCGCAGCTGAGGTGTCTCGGGGGCCGCGACCTGGTTCCTGGCTGCGTCAAGTCCATCCCCACCATCAGGGGCCCTGGTGAAGGGCAGCCTGGGACTTAGACTCCGCGCCCTGGGGGACTTCGGTCTGTGGGTGGTGGTTGTCGTCAGCCAGTGCGTTTACATTGTTAGGCCTGCCTGTCCGTTCCTCAGCTCCTGCCCTGACACTGATGGTCATGTGGACATGCGTGCTAATAACCCTGAAACATGTGATGTGGTGGGTAATGATGTGGTAGACACAGCTGAGCTAAAAGCTGCAGTTGAATTAGGCCCCCTACAGGTTCAGGAGGGTGCTCTGGGAAGAGAAACTTTAAATGGCATATCTGCCCCGAAGGAAAACTTTAAGGAAGTGGATTATTTAAAGAGGTCCTCTGACATAAAAATATCTGAAGTGCAAGATAGGTGGGCTGTCCTTCAGAAGGAGAGTAGGACATTGTCGTCTGAGAATGTCAGTGACAAAAGGAAGCATGCAGTGTACAGGGGGAAACAAGCAGAGCTAAGTTTGGTCAGTAAGAGGAGGCATGTACATAGAATGGAGAGAGGGTCTAAGGTAACCCCAATAAAAGAGCCCACACTTTTTGTGTTTAAAAGCGTGACCCCTTCAAAGGTAAAAAGAAACCGGCGGTTGAGAGTGCAGCATAGCTTTAAATGCTATCCGACATCTAAAACTCAGGCGTCAACCTCATCCTCAGAAAGGTACCAAGTTTTGGAAGTTCCTTAATGGGAAGGTGACTTGGGTGGCCCCAAGGAAAATAGAGAGGCAACGCTTTTGGAAGCGTACCCGTAAAAAGGCACAGTGTCTTTATAGGGCCCAAGTCCGTGTACTAGAAACACAGGGAAAGTCGCCTCATAAGACAGGAAGGAAAGTTTCCCTTTGAAAGCAAGGTCAGTCAGGAATGGGCTCATATGGGTGAAGGCTGGCACAGAGGTGCCAAATTAAAGCATTTGGGCTTGTGTGTTCTGCCCCCTACGGGATCAAAACAAAGGGGGGGGGATATGTGGCAGTGCGGTATCCTGCCACGGTGGAAATCATGATGGAGACCCAGGATTCTCAACTATACAGGTTGAGGGGCTCCAGGCAGTTCTCACAATGCAGAGGAAACTGATTTATAAGTTTCCTCTTTGGTTTGTAAAGCCTGTTTTGGGACCTGTAGCCTGGAGATTTCTTAGAGATTTGGGAGGGATGAAATCTCCAATCCTGGGCCCATATTTTGGGAGCAGCCAGCGTGCTGATTGCACAGGTGTGTGCAGGCCTTTTAGGGGAGTCCAGGCCATGATTCTGGGCTCCACCCCGGCAGATAGGAGTCAGGAAAGCTCCACCCTGGCAAACGGAGTCAGGAGGGCTCCAGCCTGGCAGATGGGAGGTCTCTGCCTTGGAGGCAGGGGGAAGCCAGACTAGCTGTGTGCTAGTGGTCATAATTTGGGAAGAGTCTGCAGGAGACAGACAGTGAGCTGTGTAGCTGAAAGAGCCAGAAGGCTGAATTTGTTTGATCGTGGATACCCCTGTGTGGGAAGCATTTGTGTTATGTGAACTTTCTTTTAATTAAAATTGGGCAAAAAGGCCCTTAAAGAAGCGAGTTGCTGTGTGCTTTAACGAGAAGAGCTCTACCACTTGAAGCGAGTTCCCACAATATATATATATATATATTTATATTATATATATGTATGTGTTTTATCATCTAATCCCCCACACTTTTGGGTTGCCATGACCTTTGCCAATAATTATCATTCCATTTTATTATTAGCATGATTTCTGCATTCCTTTTTCACCCCCTCCTTGTTTTCCTTTTTTTTTTAATTATCATGAATCATGTTCACCATAGACATTGCCACCATTATGTGAAAAACCGCACTAGAACATTATGCCAGTTACTGCTTTTTTATTGTATATGCCTGCTCCGATCCCTATACACCAATCCTAGCTGCTGACATCTTCCCCCAGCTGCCAGTCAGAGTGATATCATCCTGCCTTCTGCCTATAAAACACTGGAGAACCCTACAGCCAATTAGGTATGAAGAAGAAGCAAGTGCTTTGAAAACGCATCACCTGACCCTGTTCCTTCCCTGCCATTGTTCGCTTGCCGAGGTCTTGACTTCCTTGCTATCCATGCTGGTTTCGGCGCCATTTTTAAAAAAAACTCTCTGCATTGCTGAACACTGACGGCAGCAAAAACTGCTCATCCTGCACAACCAGGATCCATCTTCACATCACTGTCAGACTGAGGTCTTACATTCCTTTGCCATGCTATTATATTTCTTACGTTTGTGAGTAGTTTTTAAACCTTTCAGAAAATAACAGAGGACACCACACATTGTCCTTTATTTTTTACAGGATTATTTTTTTTGCTGTGTAGAAAATACTGTAATTCATAGGGATTGAGCAAGAAGAAGTGCAGATATCAGTGTCTCCTGTGTCTTTACAAAAGCGACATGCTCAAGACTGAAGTAAATTTTGAAATGAGGAGAGTTGTATTTATAAACTTACAACAGTGTCTGTAGAACATGGTATGAAAAGATACATACAGTACATATACACTCTGGGGCATGATGCAAACATGTGTATGTAAGCCTGTACATAAATTTGCCTGTGCTCCATTCTTTGTTTATGTGGCACTACCTCCGCAGGAGCCGCTTGGTAAATTGGGTTCACCGTTCTTCTGTCTCAACTCTGAAAACAACCTCAGCCCCACTGACACACCAGGTTAATCAAATGGATACTTCACTGCTACTGAGAGTACAAATATAGATACCCTGCACACAACTAAGGTTCAGTATCAAAAAAGCAAATATCAGACTGGTTAGTGGTAATATATTGTCACTGTTTACAGTAAATAGCAGAAAATATCCACACAAATGAGCAAGTAAAGGCTTAGGTCAATCATAGTTAACTAGACAGTGTGTTCACTAGGCCAGTGGTCGGCAAGCCGCGGCTCGCGAGCCACATGCGGCTCTTTACAAACTTAAATGCGGCTCTTCTGTGTGCCGGGGGGGCCCGCTGCCCTCCCTCCTCTCGGGCGGGCCGCCCCAAAGTCAGGACTCTGCAGCTGTCAGGATGTAGGCGGGGCAGCCAGGATGTAGGCAGGGCAGCGTGACTAACTCCTCTCCTCTCACAGTCCGCCCTGAAGACCAGAACGGCGCGGGAACACGGCGAGAAGAACGTGCGGAGCAAAGGTAAGTGAATTGACACAATATGGGGAATGAATTACTATAGGGGGGATGAATTACTATGGGGGATGAATTACTATGGGGGATGAATTACTATATATGGGGGATGAATTACTATGGGGGATGAATTACTATATGGGGGATTAATTACTATGGGGGATGAATTACTATATGGGGGATGAATTACTATATGGGGGGATAAATTACTATATGGGGGATGAATTACTATATGGGGGATGAATTACTATATGGGGGATGAATTACTGTATGGAGGATGAATTACTGTATGGGGGATGAATTACTGTATGGGGGATGAATTACTATATGGGGGATGAATTACTATGAGGGATGAATTACTATATGGGGGATGTATTTTCAGTTTTAAAAATGTGGCTCTCAAAATAAATTTCAATCGTGGTTTTGGCGAGATTTGGCTCAGTTGAAAAAAAAGGTTGCCCACCACTGCACTAGGCTATAGCTAAATTAGAGTAAACCTGGTTATCCACAAAATCAGCAATAAGTAATGGTATTGGAAACCAGTAACAGCAATGCTAATCAATATTGCAATAACTCCTCTGTAAACAGTAGGCTAGATTAGAGTGCATTCAGTATGAATGTCAAAGATGAAATTTAAGACTCTCTTAAGTCCTTCTTTAAAGGTACTTCTTACTATGGACAATAGGTAAAGTTCTTGTGAAGCAGCTATGTGAGTGAGCAATATTTAGCCTTAGTTCTTCAGCCAGATAATGTTAGGGCCCAGTCTTTACAGTAATGCAAATGAGCACAGTCCCCGTAAAGTCTGCATGTAACAAATAATGCTGCTAGTTGGAACACCAGTCCCTATGAGCTCAGTCTCTGCTAGCAGCTAGAGGTTAATGGCAGCAGTGTTCTCTCACCAGTCCCAGTGATATTGCAATGGGGATATCACTGTTCAGATGTAAGCGCACCTCTGGATCTGCCAAGATTGACTGCGGTGTTCAGCGCATGGCTGCAGGCTTGTGGCAAATTGTGTGCTGCTCACCTCACAATAAACAGTAAATTCTCTGCCATATAAATATACACACACCATAAGTCTCCCCCCGATAAAATATCTGTCCATGTAGTTTGCCCATTTGTAGCACAATAGTTACACTGATTTTTTAACTGAATCAAGGCTAAATAATGTGAATTTTGGAAAGCAGTGTGAAACAATAGCCCATAAAAAACAATCATTAATCTGCTTGTTGATCAACTGATTAATAATACAGCTCATTCCAGATCATTGTCATTTACATTACTTAATGTGATTAAAATAAACAAAAATGAACACTAAAAAAACACCCCAAAGCATGTGCATTTCATTTAGCAGAGTCATAACAATAACTTTGTTTTTTAAGTGATAATAAACCCAAAAATAAACATTTGCAGCTTAAATTTGTTGGCTGCATTCAGTTTCTTTTTCCCTTTGTGGGTTGAGGGTTTGAGGCTTTGAGGATTTTTCCTTTGTTTTCACTTCATAATTCAGCCAGTAACACATTTCCTGTCTCTGGGTGTCTCCACTCTAAATAGAAGAGCAATGGAGACCATTGTAAGCACCCTGATAATGATAAATGATTTGTGTTAAACTAACTGCCACTTTTATTGGACAGTTTGGTCTATTAATGGTAGCTGAAGAATAACAGACCACATCTAAGAACTGGTAAGTTGCAATATATTAAATTGCTTTATTTTGGGTTTAATAGCACTTTAAGTTGCCAAAAGAAAAAAGTGAATAGTTAACTTACCTGTTCATGGTGCTCAATGCCCATGCTGATTGTATTCACAAGAATAGCTATCATGATTCCTCGGTTGAAGTATTTGCTATCCACTATGCCCCTGAGTTTTTACACGAATTTCTACACAAAGCCTTTCACAAAAACCTTCTTCGCTATCTTCCTCTTTCTCTTTGTCAAGTTCTGATGTGCTTCCACAACTCCCAGTTTCACTGTTCTGCCCTTGTGTTCCTTCTAGACTGGACCTGTTGCTGTCCGGAGCAGTAAACTTCCGTCCATCATCCCATTTAGCTTTGGTACATTGAGGACAGTTTGAAAGATCAGAGGTAAGTGTGATTGCTATAGGCTGTACAATTGCATGAGGAGTATATTCCAACTGGCTGTGCTTCTGACATACCCCTAGGAAAAACAAAATAAATAAACATATTTATCTGTAGCCTAAAGGTTAAGTCCACCCAAACACTGATGTATAAAACTTTGAATTCCAGCTAGTATATAAAATGCAGGTTTCTTATATCTATTGGCAACTTCAGCTGGAAGAACTCCCTGTTGTTCCTAAATCTGTCCCTGTTTAAGTCACCATGATGGCAAGCAAAGCAATGTTGCATTCTCAAAAATTTAAAATATATGAAGAATTTAACAGCAAGATTCCACAGATACACATAAATCCGGCTACCCAAGTCTTTTCAGCAGTGAGTGACAAGAGCTGTAACAGAATTGGCCATCTGTTGTGATGTCTAATTTGACACATGTGGTACCCATATTGTGTATAGAAAACCTACAGCCCTTGAACAATCACATCTTCCATTCTACCTAGACAATACATGGATAACTGTCAAGTGGGAAAGCCATAACAACCTCTTTATGTGTTTGCTCATGTGGCAAGCTCTTGAAGCTGAACCTTACAAAATATGCACTAGAGCAACATTTATTGGACTGATTTTATCTGCCAAAGGATTTGTAATTTTTGACAGCCAGTCCTGCAAGTTATTCAGCCATGCCAGATAGCAAGGCTTGGTGGGGGCCTTATTTTTCTCTACTGGCTAAGCATCATAACTTGGACATCTCCTTGTCCCAGCAGATTACCAGACAGCTCTTTTTTTTTTTTTGCTTTCTTCTGTAATCTAGAGATTAGCTCAAAATTCAGTCTAAACGCAAGGTGCTGTTTACATTGCTACATAGTTAATCTGTTTGAAAAAAAAAAGACACTAGTCCATCCAGTTCAACCAAAAAAACAAATATCCTATACCCACAGTTGATCCAGAGGAAGGCAAAAAACCACAGTAAAGCATGATCCAATTTGCTCCAGCAGATGAAAAAATTCCTTCTTGATCCACAAAAGGCAATCTGATATTCCCTGGATCCAGGGGCGGACTGACAACTCATGGGGCCCCCCAGGCAATAGGGGATCATGGGGCCCCTGTGCCCTTGCCCAAACTCATAAAAGCCTATAAAAAGGTACCAGGGGCATCTCATGGGGCCCCCTACTGACCCCGGGCCCTCGGGCAGTGCCTGAGTTTCCAAATGGTCAGTCCGCTCCTGCCTGGATCAACTTTACCTATAAATATTAGTATCCAGTTATATTATACAGTGATTATACAAGAGAATCACCCCCCTTCTAACCACTTGCCCTCCTGAGGATTTACCCCTCTTCCTGGCCAGGCCATGTTTTGATTTACGGACCTGCATTACTTTAACTGACAATTGTGTGGTCATGCAACACTGCACCTAAATGAAATTTCTGTCCTCTTTTTTCCCACGAATTGAGCTTTCTTTCAGTGGTATTTGATCACCTGTGCATTTTTTATTTTTTGCGCTATAAAAAAAAATTTGAGAAAAAAAACTATATTTTTGACTTTTTTCTATTAACTGCTTCCCTACCGACCTATAGCAGATATACTGCTACAGGGCGGTACAGGTGTGCAAATTCATATATATATATATATATATATATATATATATACTGTATATACGTGATTTTGCATTTCCGTGTAGGGGGCACGAGCGAGGCGCGCACGCGCCCTACCCGCAGCACCATTCGTGGCCGCGACGTCAATCACCGGGTCCTGACCAGTGATTACTCGCTGGCGTCCGGTGATTGCCGAGCATCTCCGATGGGAAGGAGAACTGTTAGTAAACAAAACAGTTCTTTTCCCTGTCAGCTCGTGCACACTGCTTTGGATGGCTGTGCACAGCACAGCCATCAAAAGCAGTGTGATTACAGTGAAGCACAAACACATGGTTTCATAATAAAACACACCCAGCATACAGTTAACCCTTTGATCACCCCTCATGTTAAAATAATCATTTTGTTGCTTTGCAGCCTGAAATGGAGACAGACACAGGTTTTGTTTTATGCAGCTGTATTTACTCACTAAAATTTGTAACATCCAAATGAAAGATCTAACACCAACATGTCAGAAAATAAAAATACAGAATCACTGAGTTGGAAAAAGGATCACCCCCCCTCCTAAAATGACTTGTAAACTCAATCAAGTGTAGCTAATCACCTTCTCAATGGCACACAGAGCCATTTGAATTTTGGCAGTGACCAGCTGTGGTCCTCTGGATAGCTCAGCTTTCCTGGACCATTTTACTCCCTGATAGTGAAACTGAAGAAAACAATCAATAATGGGTGGCAAGGCACTGTCAAAGGTCTCCAAGATAAAGTTGTGAATAGGCACAGGCCAGGAGATGCATACAAAAAATGTTAAAGGTTTTATCAATGCATAGAAGCATAGTGAATTCTATTATTAAGAAGTTCAAGGTATTTGGTACAGCACAGACCCTCCCTGGATCCAGACGTCACTCCAAATTGATGAAAGAGCCAGGAGGAAACTGGTCAGAGAGCCTACCAAGAGGCTTACAGCAATGCTGAGGGAGTTACAGGAATGTATGACAAAGAGTGGTCATTGTATGCATGTGACAATATCATAAATTCTCCACAAATGTGGCTTGTATGGAAGGGTTGCAAAAAAAAAAAAAAAAAAAGCCATTCCTCAAGAAAGGCCACATGCAGACATGAATGAGCTATGCCAAAACACACTGAGAAGATTCTGAGACAACATGGTAAAAGGTGTTATCGTCAGATCAATCTAAAATTGAATTATTTGGCCTCAACACTAAACCATATTTCTGGTGGAAATCCAATACAGCTCACCATCCAAATAACACTATTCCTACAGTAAAGCATGGAGGTGGTAATATCCTGTTATGGGGGTGTTTCTCTGCAGCAGGGACTGGAAACACTTGTCAGGATAGAAGGAAAAATGGATGGGGCAAAATACCATCAATATCTTGAGGAAAATCTGCTGCCCTCTGCCAGAAAGTTGTCAATGGGAAGAAGGTTTACCTTCCAACATGACAATGAACCAAAGCACACAGCAAAAATGACCACACAATGGTGGAAGGAATAAAAGGTGAATATCCCTGCATGGTCTAGTCAGAGCCCAGACATAAACCCCATTGTAAATCTGTGGAATGACTTGAAGACTGCAGTCCACAAACAGTTACCATCAAATTTAACTGACCTTAGCAGTTTTGCAAAGAAGAGCGGGCAAATATGGCAAAGTCTAGGTGCAAAAGGAAGAAGGGTCAGCCGCACTCCGGAGGATAGATGAATATAGTGTGTATTGATCCATAGGACACACAAAACACCAGGACATGAATACAGGAATTATTAACGCGTTTCACACGATCTCATGTTTAATCTCGTGTTTATGATTAAGCACGAGATCCTGTGAAACACGTTAACAAGTCCTGTATTCATGTCCTGGTGTTTTGTGTGTCTTATGGATCAATATATACACACTATATTCATCTATCCTCCGGAGTGTGGCTGACCCTTCTTCCTATTGCATCGTGTGTGGTGGCAAGCCAGAGCCTGCACCTGTTGTGGATTGATCTGGATTGTTTGCCTGAGCGGTATACCTTTTGTTCTTTAAAGTCTAGGTGTGCAAAGTTGGTAGAGACATATCCCAACAGACTAAAGGCTGTAAGTAAAGCAAAAGGTGGTTCAACAAAATACTGACACACTGGGGTGATCCTTTTTCCAACTTGGTAATTCTGTTTTTGATTTTTTTTTTTTTCTGACATGTTGGTTTTATATCTTTCACTTGGGTGTTATAAGTAAATACAGCTGGCTAAAACAAAAACTGTGCCTGTCTACATTTAAGGCTGCAAAACAACAAAATTTGATTCTTTTAAAGGGGGTGATTCTTTTGTATACCCACTTTATGTATCTAGGGAAGAATCCAGGCCTTTTTAAAACACTATACTGAGCTGACCAGAACCAGCACTTGAGAGAGTCTATTCCACTTTTTCAAAACTCATACTGTGAAGAAGCCTTTCTATATCTGGAGATTAAATCTCTTTTCTACATACGTAAAGAGTACTCCATTGTCCTCTGTGATGGCCTTAAGGTAAAATACTTTACACCGAGTTCACTATATGGACCAATTGTGTATTTACAGTATACATATTGATCATATCCCCCCTTAGGTGCCCAAAACTGAACTGCATATTCCAGATGAGGTTTTACTGATTTGTATAGGGATAAAATGATATCTCTCTGTCTGGAGTCTATACCTCTTTTAATACAAGAAATTATTTTGCTCGCTTAGGAAACTGCAGTTTGGCATTGCATGCCATTATTAAGTTTATGATCTACCAAACAACACCCATGTCCTTTTCCACCATTGACTCCCCTAGTTGTACTCCCCCAGGTATGTAGGATGCATGCATATTCTTATCCACCAAGTGAATAGCTTTATGTTTATCAACATTACACCTAATTTGCCACATGGTTGCCCAATTAGACAGTGTATTGAGGTCAGCTTGTAAGTTGGAGACATCCTGTAAGGATGTTATTTCCACTGCATGACTTGGTGTCGTCTGCAATGACTGAAATTGCACTTTTAATACCAAACCCTATATCATTTATAAATATATTAAAAAGTGAGGGTCCCAACACTGAACCTTGGGGTACACCATTAATAACCCTAGACCATTTGGAGTATGAATCATTACCCCTACTCCCTGTCTTTTTAGCCAGTTTTCTATCCATTTACAACTGATTTTTCCAACCCTGTAGACCTTACTTGACACTTAGCCATGTGTGGGTAACTGTCTCAAAGGCTTTTGCAAAAGTCCTGACCTCAACACTAGAGATGAGCGAATCGAACATGACGAAGTGGAATTCGTTCCAAAGATTTGGAAAAATTCTATTCGCGACAAATCCGAAGATTAGCAAACTTCGGATGCACGAATCGAATTTTCCCAAAAAATGGCGGCGACATGTGTGGCGACGGAGAAAATGGACAGAGAAGATGGGGCGGGGATCTCTGGGAAGGCGCGCAGACAAGGCGCGCTGACCCATAATGCATTCATGACATGTGATC